AAATCTACATAAATTGTATGTGAATTACAAGGATCATCATAAATTCACCTACTGCATTAGCGAGCGTGATACGTGCATTTTCATAATGTACGTGCAAGTAGGCCGATACTTCGCTTTGCGTGTATATAATGACGTGAGTACGTGGCCCGAGTCATTGTATAGGAAAGGTGGTGTCGTTGCTTGTTGTGTGTTTTGGCCGCTCGCATGTATGCTGAAGCTGGGGATCCTTTGATACGAAAAACGTTGCCGAGCCATTCGTTTCGGGTATGCTGTGAAAAACCAAAAAATGCCGACACTGCTGTTGTTCGGTTTTGCGGTAAACATCCGGAAGATTTGGGGGGTCCCCTAGACTTTCGCCGAAGCATCAAGGCTCAGAAGTTACCAGGAGATCGAGGCTCAGATTTTCCTTGAAGCTGCCCGGGAAGGGGAGGAAGGAGGGGGTGAAAAACCCGGAAGAAAAAGCCCTTCACAAATTTGCCATCTCTTGACGAGAATCCTTCCTTTCCACTCGTCTTTTGGATTTCTGTTTTCTCGTTTTGGCGTTGAGCCTGGGACCCAACTTCTGTTTCTAAAACAAGACCACCTGGTGACATAGATGTTTACGCTTGTTTTTTGCATTTTTTCCCACTTCTTACTTCGACGGGTGGCAAGGCGCAATGGAAAATAGCACTGTTGTCATTCAACAGGTCGAGAGTTCGTTTCTGACAACTAGGACAGCTAGCCCCTTTACGATTCTTTCATTCGTTTCGATGATACATTGGTAATGGCGTATGCCAATGAGTCAAATAAGCCATCAACTTGCTTGTAAGGAATAATGAGAAATAAAGAATCCACACTAAATTTCATGTGCACAAAGACATGTTAGGATGCAGTCTGTGTTTCATCCCTTAGCTGTAAACACAACTGTCGGAAGAGTGAGCCATCGAGAACCATGCCAGTGGGCGGCTGCTACTGGCATTTAGCACCGCCCCGGTTACTTCCCCTGCTTGGCTCCGCCCCTCCTGGAAAGCGAATGCGAGCGGGTTTTTGGCTTTCCTTTTTGCACGTATTGTTTTGATATTGTTCTCCGACTATAATTCCACACAATATAACATCCTGTATTTTATTTCGTTTTCTATGCACATGTGGTTTGAAATTATGCAAGTATATTTTGTAGGTTTGTGTGAGAGATGTCACTGGTAACAGTGCAACGCTCGCCAACACCCAGCGAAAATGGAAATTTCGATCAAACGGTAATCTAGCCCTCACAGCAGCATTTCTTTTTTCTGTTATTTTAACGTATGACTTATGTACAGCTCAGGGATGAAACACAGACAGGTACCAAGTCACTGTACATACAGGCTTGCTTATTTGGGAGATCTAAATGGCACTACTTCCAGTGTTTTCATTAATTATCAAAATTCG